TTGCCTCAAGACTAGGATACTGGCAGTTTCCAGTGAGGAGAAGAGATTCCACCAGCTTTACTGTTACTGTATTCCTGTATTAATGGCAATTCCAATATAAAATTGGGATTCCCTTCCCTCCCCACTGAGATTTGTGTTCCTTTACAGTTAGAGGAGGGAAATGTCTGGCTTTGCATCTCTAGTCACAAGTTAAGTGGGGGTTCTGGACACTTGGGTGCAGCTCTGGGTGTTTATGTCTGGGCTGCCCTACTGGGATGGTCAGAGTGGACAGGAGTAGCCAAAGATGGGTCCTGGCTGCTGGGTTGGCTTGGCCAGTATACAAGACCCTCTGTGAGGTGGGTATGGACCTTCCCTGCATCGCTGCTGCTGCCTCCCTAGGCTCCTGGGAGCTGCAGTGTGAAGTGTGGGGAGCAGGTGATCTCACAGGCCACAGATAGTCTTGGTGCCTCCTGGGGGCAGACCCACCCATCAGATGGCCTCCAGACCTGAGGGCAGTCTATAAAACAAGATGTGTCCAGACAGGTCAGGCCAGTTCCCTTTGGCTGAGCACTGCTTCCTGCCCAGGTGTTTGTAGGATCCCAGCCTGATTGCAGAGTGAATTGAGTGCCCCCAGCAAGTGAGGCTGAATTAGGGCATCAGGGACAGCACCCCTGGGCTTGAGCTCAGTGCTGCCAGAGCCAACAGTTTTGCTCTCTGTGTATGCCTACACTGAAGCAGCAGTCAGATGGCTGGAGCAGGCAGAACACAATGCCCTGTGACCCCATCCCCTGGGCCTTTAGCATCTGAGGATTTCACCTTTCACCATGGAGTTGATGTTTTCTGGGGGCCCAGAACTGTCATTCAGAGTCTGTTGGGATATGCTTTCTGCCCCTACTCTCTTTCTGTGCTGTGAATGGATGCCCCTGCAATTTACCCCACAGTTGGGTCCCGCATGAGAAAGGAGCAGCCTTGCCATCTTTCCCTTGGGTTGACACTTGGAGTGGTAGCAGAGCAGAGTTCAGGTGCAGGCCAGGTGTTCAGACTTGTCACAGTGGCACTGGCCCTGGCCTCCTGCTGTGGGGAACCACCCAGGCTGAGAATAGGCTGCTTGCTCTCTGTGGGTCTAGAAGGGGCAGGAATGTTGGCCTTCCCTGTTGCAGCTCTGCGAGGCTTTGCACAGTGACTGGTGTTAGCCTTGCCACATTTAGGGTTCTTCAGACGAGGAACCTAAAGTTCAGAGAAGTGTAAGTAAGTTGCTTTTAAGGAAGAGAGCTGGTGTTTAAGTCCAGGCCAGCCTAACTCAGAGCTGTGGTTCTTCTACTTAACCAGCTGTGCTGGATTCAGCCACATCTTTACCTGGCTTTACCATAAGAATTTCAGCAGCTTCATCTCTGCTATTGCATGAAGTTACATATCTCAATTTAAATTAACAGGAGCCTGCCTTTGTGCTCTTGCTGCTGTTCTTCTCTGATAGAAAATATAAGAAACTCAGTGCTCATGAAAAAGTGTTACTCTTTTGGGGGAGGGGACGGTTATTTCTGGAGATTGCCAAGGAGGGCAGTGCTTAATCCAGTGCCAGTTGTGTGGCTTTAGGTATAGAGGGAGGTGGCTTGGGTCAGGGCCCTCCTGACCCTCACCCAGGTGATCACCTGGTCTGAATATCCCACTACCACCACCCTTAGTATTTCCCTTCTATTACAAATAAACCAAAAAGCCTGAAAAGCAAAAAAAAAAAAAAAAGCAGTAGGTAAGAGAGGTCTTGGGATGGGCAGAGGGGCAGAGTCATGGGTCCTGAACCTTTAAGGATGAGTGTGGGGCTGCAGTGAAGAGCTGAGCGGAAGTAAGGGGAGATCTGTGACCAAAGCCAAGGACCTCTTCCTGCCATACTGCAGCCTCTGCTTTGTGGGAGGGACCTGGGCTTGCCCTGCCTGTCCAGGCTCCCCACCCTCATTTTCCCCTCAGTGGTGCCCACAGCCCACACTCCTCCAGGCTATGACCCTCTCTTGGACATAGCACCTTGAGTGTGCTCCACTTGTGCTGCCGTGGAGTAGTGTGTGGAGCTGCTGCAGCTTGAGGGCAAAAGTCCCCCCTGCCTTTGTGCTTTGGTCTCCACAGACTTCTCCCAGCCCTGTGCAGGGCTGGGGCAGCATTAAGCCCCAGACCTGGCACTTCAGCTGGGCCTGATCTCCCCCTGGATTTGGAGCCCCAGTGTGCCCCGAGCTGAGCTGGCCCTCTCGCTGTTCTTAGAGTGCACTTGTGATTTTGGATTCAGACTGTGGTTCGCTGGGTCTTTTTGGCTTGGAGGACTACTGGCTGGTCGTTTGCAGTTCAGGCTGGAGACGGTGAGGCTGCTTTTCTTCAGTGAGAACTTGCCTGACACGTTTAAGGCCCTGGGGAGTCCCTCCTAGGAACCTTCTCCCAAGGGGGACTGGACTGCCTGTGCTTGGGAGGACAGGGCTTCCCAGAGAGGAGGAGGGTAATGCTGAGAGAGCCCAGGTACCCTTGTCCCTTGGCGGTGGTAGGAAGTTCCTGATAGAGCTAGAGTGTAAGTGGGAGGGACAGGGGAGCAGGAGGGTTGGCAGAGCTGGAATGGGAACCAAGCCTACTGCTTCCCCAGACTCTTCTTCTCCCATGGAGCTGGGCCACGCCCTGCAGGTTTCAGGGGTCTGGCAGGCTGGGAGTGCCCTGCACCCAGCCCCACCCCAGGGCGCAAAGCTGAAGCTGAGTTCTCACGTGTCCCTTCAAAGTGTGACTCATAATACTCGCTTTCCTCAGATTGGTGTGCAGTGGGGCAGGCTGTGGGGACCCAAGCATTGAGTGACATTGCCGCCTCAGGCACCACTTGAACTCTAGGAGTTGTTTGGCAGGTGACAGAATTTGGCAGATACAAGGGAGGCTAGCAGGAGGCTCTTAGGCTTGGTTTGGAAATGTGATTCGTACCCTATGATTTAGACTCCCCGGGATCTTCAGCACAGGTACACTGGGTATCCCTGAGGGATCAGAGTGTTGAATGGGAGGTGAAAGGGTGCCATACTCTACAAGAAACGTATTCCCAGGTTCTGTGGACAGGCTTCTGAAAGGGAAGGCTCCCCTCCCAACCTCTCCCTGCTTAGGACCTTCTGTGTGTTGAGAGGGGAAGATTAAGTCACGGAGAATGTCCCAGAATCCCAGGACCAGTCCACCAGCTACCTGGTGGGGGATGGGGTGGAGGGGAAGAAGCTGCACAGGCCAGTCACCCCTCAGCTAAAACTCATTCACTGGCCAGGCTGGAAAGCACCTCCCTTTGCTCACCACTCTCTTTCCCATCTGCCCCCTCCTTGCTCTGTACTCAGTGTCTAGATTCTTAAAGGCCACAAGCCCAGGTGACCTCAGCCTTGACCTCCAGCCATTCCCACGCCTGGCTCCTCTGGTAACTTGGGGCCTGTTGAGGGGCATCAGCCCCTGCTCAGCTGTGTGGTCTGTTTGTTCACATATCTTCTTCTCCAGGCCCTTCGTGGGTGGGGGAGGGCTGGGCCTGCGCTTTCCTAGGAAATGGAGACATGTTTCTCTCAGGCACGGGGCGGCCTGCATTTGAGCAAAGGGCCTGTAGGCTGTAAGCAGCCAGGATGCTTTTAAGAGTGGAAGGAAGCATTGCGAGTAAGCAGCTGAGCAAATGGGGATGAATGAGAAGCAGGAGTGTCTTAGGGAGCCTAGTAGATGCCTGGGTATTTTAGGGGTTCTCCCTGTGCTTCAGGAATGAATGGATTTGCCTTCTGTGACTCTGTGTCTTGCTTGGGTATGTCTCTGGGCAGTGGCAGGTCCCTTCGCGTGGCCAGAGCAATGCCTGGCACCTTGCCTCTCTTTTCCAGTTTACCCAGTCCTTCCTTGGTGGTGTTGGACACCCACGATGCTTTCAGCCTGGTTTTCAGAACACTCTATCTCAATGAGTACAGCCTGTCCCAGGAGAGAAAGCAGGCATTGACCCCAGCCACTTGCCCAAGGCCACAGGACCTAGCTGGGAGGGGCTCGGGAATTCCTGAGGGTTCTCAGGTGTGGGACTTTCAGGGTTAAATCCTGGCTCCTTGGGGACTGTGGGATTCCACCCAGCTCCTCTGGTGAGTGGGTGTGAATAACAGTAGCAGTGGGGAAATGAAGCTGAACAGCCTGGGCCTGCTAGGTGGGGTAGGGGTCACAGGGCACCAGGGAGGGCAGAGCCATGCCCGGCACCTTACTTGGCACTCTTCTGACCACTGACATACCCCCTCTCCCAGTTCTTGGCCATGCCAGCTTTCAGTGTACAGCCAGCTCTGACCCCTTTCATTCAGGATGGGGCCCGTGCTATCTTAAGTATGTTGTGGGTGGAAGAAAATTTTCCAGGAAAATTAGGGGATGATGTCTGGTCAGAGGTGTTTTCTCTCTCGGGGCTTTCTATAGCTACCCCCCATCCTGCTCCCTGCCTGGAGTTTTACCTACTAGGAGGGATACCTGAAGAATAGGGCAGGCCTGACAAGTCAGGACTAACTAACTGGTTTGTTCCCTGAGTTAGTTCTTCTCTCTGATCCGTTCTTTTCTAACTCCTGATGGTTGGTGGAGATCTAAAGCTGCACAGGTCTAATATGTACTCCCTGAGTCTTCCACCCGGGAATGCCGGCCTCACCTTCCTGCCAACCCTTCCACAGGCATTGGCACTGGCTGGGCTGCAGAGACCTCCCATGACCACCGGCTCCTCAAAGCCAGGCCTTCACCCCTTGGGGTTTTTTTTTCCAGCAAGACCCAGGTTATGGCTGTCCTCCTCACAGGCTGAGCTTTGCCTCCTTCCAAGCCCACAGGCAGGTTCCTCATATCAGCGCCCCACTATCTGCCTCCCTTTTGTCCTGTGGCCCGCCCATCTCAGAAACCCCAGGATGGGAGAGGGAACAGGTCATGCTTTTGAAGGAATGGATGGGCTCCCATCACCCAAGCCCCTATCACAGCCTGATGGTGAGAGCTTTGCCCTGGCTCCTTCTCTATTCTGACCCTTGAGTCTGCATTGCTCTTTTCAGGGGCCCCACTCTCCTAGGCTGCAACGAGAATGGGGCAGCCAGTCCTTGCACAGCAGCTGGTAGTCTGACCCCACTGGAACTTTGCATCCTGGAAAAGCGGTCCTGGGAAAATCCAGACTGGAGATAGGGTGAGGGTAGGCCAGTCACTGTGGGGGAAGGGTTGCCGGAGGGGCTGCAGTAGGGGAGAAAGGCAGGCCAGGGCAGGCTTCTCATTGCCTGCCTTCTGTGCTCCAGATTGGACATACTCCATGACACACACTCGGAGGAAGTCCCTTCCCATGCTGAGTTCGGGCCCCAGTGGCCACCGGGAGCCCCTGCAGATGGAAGGCAGCAGTGTGGAGCAGGGGACGGAGAGCGTAGAGCCAGGCATGCCTGAGAGCCCAGGGCACCTCACCGGGCGCCGCAAGAACTACCCACTGCGGAAGCGTCCATTAGTTCCTGAGAAGCCCAAGGCCTGCAAAGTGCTGCTAACCCGCCTGGAGAATGTGGCTGGTCCACGGAGTGCAGATGAGGCTGATGAGCTGCCCCCTGACCTGCCCAAGCCGCCCAGCCCAGCTCCAGCCAGTGAAGACACGGGCCTCACACAACCCCGTAAGAGGCGCTTGGCTTCCCTCAATGCCGAGGCCCTCAATAACCTGCTGCTGGAGCGAGAAGAAGCCAGCAGCCTGGCAGGCACCCGGCGCAGTCGAGGGGGAGACCCCCACCGCAGCCGGGACCGTGACCGGGCCTCGGGGGCCTGGTCCTCCTCCAAGAAACGGCCCCGGCTGGGGGTACTTGGCGGAGGAAGTCGGGACTTGTCCCCAGAGTTAGCACCAGATGAAGGTGCCCGCCAAGATGGTGACCCAGCTCCCAAGAGGCTGGCTAGCCTGAATGCAGCCGCCTTCCTAAAGCTGAGCCAGGAGCGTGAGCTACCCCTGCGGCCACCTCGTGGCCACCCAGAAGCAGATGGGCGCTCCACTGAGCCACCAGCACCAAAGGCCCTGAGGCCAAAGTGGGCCAAGGTCAACAGCAAGAACTATCCCAAGGCCCGGCAGGGGGCCGGCTCTGGAGAGGCAGCAGGCCCACCTGCCTGGCAAAGGTGCCCTGAGGAGCCATGGCCACCTGCTACCCCTCGTGGGCCATCCAGCCAGCCATCTTACCAGCCCCTGAGCAAAGCTGTAGAGAGCCCCTTGGGGCTGCGCCCCCACCTTCCCCTGCTGATGGGTGGGCAGGCAGCCCTGAAGCCGGAGCCTGGACGCCCAGGCGAGGAGTCACCTGCCCCCAAGCAGGAACTGCACCAGCCCTCTTTCCCTGCCCCCCAGCTCTCCCCCCTGCCAATGCCTGGCAACCCTGCCCACTACAGTGGCCTGTGTGGTCAGCCTGAGCTCACTGCACTAGGCAGCTTCTACCTGTACTGCAGCCAAGATGGGCTGCAATGTGGGGGCTACTCTTCCTGCCCCATGCTTCCTGAGGGCAAGCTGTCCCCAGTGGCTGCACCTAATGAGGGGCTCCTCTTGGCCCCAAGCTCAGTGCCTGCAGGCACCCCTTTCCAGCACCCTCCCTGGGGCTCTCGCTACTGCTCTAGTGAGGACACTGAAGTGAATGGCTACAGCATCTGTGAAATGTTGTCCCCGTCTCTTACCCACATTAGCACTACTTGTGGTGGCTGCCCCTGTAAAATGCCTTTTGCAGCAGGTGAGTTTTCCTGGGGTGGGTGTACCAGGGAGTCTCCGAGACACGGTGTCGCAGGAGGGTGGGCCATGAGTTGGGATAGGGCTCCTTGTCTAGCTACTGTGTGGGAGGTGGGAGACTGAGAAAGGAGAACAATCCTAGTTTTGTGCCCTGAGCCTTGGAGCATTACCAGGAAAGGGGCCCATGTTTAGCTCTCAGCAGCCCTGCTGTGTTCCCGCTGTCTAGGGATCTTTCTTGGCCAGGCAGTTAGGTAGCATCATGGTGATGGAGGAGCCAGGCTATTGGACTCAGATCCCCTGCTCAAGAGCCCTGAGGGGTAGCCTTAGAGAATGTTAAGTCAGAGCCAGAGACCCTGTTCCCATTACTTTCCATTTTTTATTTCAGGCTAGAAAGGAGATGGAGATGTCTGTGGGTGGATGTCCAAAATCAAGAAACACCCTCACTCTAAAGTCCCCTGACTCTACCCACCACCTCAGTGATCTTTGAGTTCACATGTAGAATTAAGAGAGGAACAGACTCTGAAAACAGAAGGATCGGTGGGGGTTAACTGCCTGTTCTTACCTGCCTGATCCTCCTCTCTCCTTTTCCCAGAAGGCTGCAGGTCCCTTGGTCAGCTGGAATTTCCTCTCCCAGAAGCTGGCCATCCAGCCTCACCTGCCCACCCATTCCTGGGATGCCCTGTGCCCAGCGTGCCACCTGCAGCAGAGCCTGTCCCCCATCTTCAGACACCCACGTCAGAGCCCCAGACAGTAGCCCGCGCATGCCCTCAGAGTGCCAAGCCTCCTAGTGGTTCCAAGTCAGGTCTGCGCACGGGCTCCAGCTGTAGGCACACAGCCCGAAGCAAGGCTGCCTGCAGGCCCAGCCATCCCAAGCAGCCTCGTGTCCAGCGTCCACGCCCCCGCCGCCGCCGCCGCCGCCGCACTAATGGCTGGGTGCCTGTTGGGGCTGCCTGTGAGAAGGCCGTCTATGTCTTGGTGAGTGCCAGCTCTTGGCTGATGGGGACACACGACATAGGACCTTCAGTGAGGTAGCTGCTGCTCCCAGCTCTAGCTGCTCTGGGATGCGAGCAGGGGCTCCAACTCACTTGTACCCCAGGAACCTGTCATGCCAGCCCAGCCTGCTGCCCAACCCTGTACTGAGCCTGTCCTGAGTGCCTTAGGGAGGTTGGGATGCATAGTCAAGTCACGGTTGGTGGCTGCCATCTCTGTCACCGACTCTCAGGGAAGCCATCTGAAGTATTTTGACCTCTTATCCCTGCTCACACTCTTCCTTCTCTCCTGGATTGTAAGTGGAGGGTTTTCATGGAGGCTCTTTGGATATGTACATATAGGGGACGTTGGCACTGGCAGAGAATATTAGGGATACAGAAATGTCTGGGATGATGAAAAGAGTATCGACTAAACTTTATTGAGCACTTCCTAGGTGCCAGAACTAAGCTATGCACTTTGCACACATTATCCACTTTAATCCTCATGACTACCCTATGAGATATGTACCTTATGTTCCTACTATTGTCCTCATATCAAAGGTAAGGAAACTGAGGTATAGCACTAGATTAAGTAATTTACCCATGGCCATGCTACTTACAGTTGTGTTCTAAGGGTCAAAAACCAGACTTACCCCAAGGAAGCTTGGGACCTGTCCAGTGCTGGGGACTTGGAGCAAGAGAGCTGGCTCTCAGGGGTGTGGTGGTCACAGTGCAGCCCTGAAGCTTCAGGCCACTTTCCCACCCCTATTTCCATTTTCTCCTTTCTTCAACTGCTGGAATTTCCCATCCCCATGTGCCCCTGAAAGCCAGGCTTAGGGCGTAGGGGCTGGTGTGCAAACCACTTTTGCAGTATCCCATCCTCAGTGGTTTGACTGGCCTGAGGAAAGGGTAGAGAGGAGGTCATTCATTCCCTCCTTCCCCCCCCCTTCTCACTGTGAGTGTAGCCCCACAGCCTGTTCATGTCACTGGTCTGTTGCTCAGGATGAACCGGAACCAGCCATCCGAAAGAGCTACCAGGCGGTGGAGCGGCATGGAGAGACGATCCGAGTCCGGGACACTGTCCTTCTCAAGTCAGGTCCCCGAAAGACATCCACACCTTATGTGGCCAAGATCTCTGCCCTCTGGGAGAACCCTGAATCAGGTACTCCCTTGCCTAGGATTTGACCTGTCACTAGTCTTCCCGTGTTCTTGGCACAGAATCTGCCTTCCATTCAGCCAATGTCTGTCTGCTGCTGAGGGCTGCAAATGGCCTTGTGCCTTGGGTTGGGATCAGCTCATTTACTTTTCCAGTGACCAGCACCTGGGCATCTGTCCCCCTACCTCACCTGTCAGCACCTTTACCCCCTTGTTCCTCTGCGCCTAACAGCCTTCCAGGCCACTGAATTGCCAGGCTTTGCCTGAGGCAGGGGACAAGGGTAACTGGAACCTGCAGGATTGGCCCAGGTATTGCAGATGGATGAGCCTCCACGGCAGGTGGCCAGCCTGCCTACCTGTCTGAGTAACTCTGGGGTTGCCAGCTCAAGCCACGACTGCTTCTCTTGTGCTCTAGGTGAGCTGATGATGAGCCTGTTGTGGTATTACAGACCAGAGCACTTACAGGGAGGCCGCAGTCCCAGCATGCATGAGGTGAGCTGCCTTGCAGGCAGGGTGGGGGGCAGGGGTGGCGAAGGGAGAGGTTGTGGCACTAAGGAGATGGTATGAGGGGGAGGCAGCCATGGGCAGGCAGGTCCCTGCGTTCGTCACCTTGTACACCAGCAAGCCTGGGAAAGGGCCCAGGTTTTTCCCAGAACTGCCCCAATTCATGTTTCAAAGGGATAGTGAGCTTTTTCTTAAAAGAGGGACAGAAAGGGAGCTCTCCAGGGCAGTGGGTGCCAGAGTGGAAGCAATTGGCTATATCATCCTGGCTGCAGGAAAGGGAGATGGAGCTGCATATCCAGCCCCCTTTGATACTGTCTGCTGCATGAGAGGACAGGGAGAAGATGCCTGCTCCCACTCTTGGTTGCCTGCCAAGCAGGGCGCTGGTGCCATCTGGGTGTGGTTGCTCCACCCCTAGTCCAGGCTCCCTTTTACTTTGTTTCTCTTGCTGGGACTTTTCATCTAACTGAGAAGATGTGCACCGATTCCCCTTTCCTCCCCTGCACTGGGAGTGGGGTTGGAAGGCTGATGATAGGGGCTGAGGTGGGCACCTAGCTACACCTGAGAAGGAAAAGCTGCTGGCATTTCCCAACCCCATGGTGGAATGCCATGGGGCGCTGTGTAAGGAGCAGATAGGCCAAAATTTCAGGGATGCTCCCTGGCTTTCTAGTTCTTTCAAGTCAGGAGTGCCAGCAGAGGGGTTAATGTCTGCCTTGCTCCTGGAGTTGGTGTTTCCCACTCTGGTAACGCATCTCCTCTCTCCCCTTGAGCCTTTGCAGAATGAAGTGTTTGCATCCAGACATCAGGACCAGAACAGTGTGGCCTGCATTGAGGAGAAGTGCTACGTGCTGACCTTTGCTGAGTACTGCAGGTGGGTGCTGCCCTGCGCCTCTGGCTTACCTCCCCTCAGGTGCCACAGGGATGTTTGGGGGCTTCTGGGATCCCCAAGGGGAGTTCACTGGCTGGGCTTGATCTTCCCAGAACTTTCTTCTCCCCGCTTGCTTCCACCATCTGAATTTTGCGGAAGAAAGAAGAGAGATTGTTCCCCCTCTGAGGAAGAGTGGTTGGGGCAGAGTTGGGGGTGGTTATAGCACTGCTTTCAGAGAATAATCGAGAATTGGCAGGTGGTTGAGAGGGAGGTCGTGGCAGGTGTGTCACACAGTGACAGAGAAGATGGACTGGCAGTTGCCAGAGAGAGTGTGGCCCCCAGGATGGGTGGAGGCAGCAGCCCCTCTGGGGCGGCAGGGTATGTCCCCACTCTCAGGGTTGCATGGGGAAGGACTTCATCTCCCTGCAGAGGTAGCTCTGGTAAGGACAGCGAACGGTATGTCACTGCAGATTCTGTGCCATGGCCAAGCGCCGAGGCGAGGGCCTCCCCAGCCGAAAGACAGCACTGGTGCCCCCGTCAGCAGACTACTCCACTCCACCACACCGCACAGTGCCCGAGGACACGGACCCTGAGCTGGTGTTTCTTTGCCGTCATGTCTATGACTTCCGCCATGGCCGCATCCTCAAGAACCCCCAGTAGCCGCCACCTGCCCACATGGGCAAGTGGGGCTTGGGGCAGGGGCCACACTTGAAGCACAGCACTTGGTTAAGGGGCCACAGGGGCCTTAGGTTGCTGGCCTGTGGTTCTCTTTTGGGGGGAGGGCAGGGATTCCTTTGGGTTCTGGGCCCCATGGGAGGGTCAGGGAGGCCAGGGTGTAAGGAAAACATCAAAGCCCTCAGCTGGGCCCAAGGGATGTCTTGGTTTTTCCCTGGGTGGGGACTCCTGAAGAAGTAGTCTTTCCAGGGGCTGGGCCAAGACTGAGGGGCATGGGGCTCGGGTGGGAGGGGGCCCTGCAGGCACCAGGCCCAACAGGCCCTTCTTTAGCTTCCCCTGGGCCCTTCAAGGGGGAGTGGGAGCCAGCTTTACCTCACCCAGTGTGACCCACTGCTTCCCCATTGGCCTGGGACCAGGCTCTCCCAGATTCTAGCACAGCTCTGAGCTCGTTCCTTTGAGGCATAGAGAGCCAGAGGCTGGCTTCCAGAGCATTGACTTACTCTTCCTCGACTCGGGGCCTTTCCCTGGCTTTCCTCCTTTGCCCCTGCGGTAGCCCTTGGTGCCGGGACAAGTTACCCAGCCCTCACAGTCATGGGTGTGACCCACTGTGGGAGTCAGCTTCCTGTCCACCTCCTGGTGAGGGCCACCTAGCAGGTCTGGCTCTTCAGAAGTTACGGGGTTTGTCATCTCTGGGAAGGCAGAAGGGAGCTGGGAGTGGGTGGAGGGCAGGGGGCAAGGAAAATTGCTACCTGATTTATTGAAGACTTTTCCTCTTGCCTTATATTTGGAGGTTCTAGGAAACCTCTTGCAGAACTTCACACGTGACTCTTCTAGCCACACCCACCTGAAATCAAACCAAAGGAGTGCTGTGGCTCCCCTGGCCCTGCCACCTCTTACCCTAGTCTTTTGTAGATTGCACTAATTTACATCCCAGCGAGAATCAACACTGTATCAGTCCACAGACCTGCTGAGCTGCAGCTGCTCTCTCTCTCTCTCTTGGAGCTAAGGACTTGCATTTTCAGTTTGTTCCTGTTGCCCAGGGGCTCTGTCTCACCTCATGCTGCTCCCCAGAGTAGATGAGGAGACTCGGTCCCCTGTAGCCCTTACTTGGCCTAGGCCCTGGCCCTGAGGCTCTCTGTCAGGGGCTGGAGCAGCCTGGCTCTTTCCTATTTGTACCAAAGAGGAGCATGGTGAGGAGAGGAGGAGCGGCACAGTGTGGCGTGGGCCTGGCAGTCTGGGAACCTGCTCAAGAGCATTTCCACAGGACATACCCCAGGGAGCAGGACCCAAGAGGGCAGCACTGGGTCGTCCTCCCCTAGGGAAGGGCAGAAGTACCCAGCAGGTTGAGGAGGTGGCACTAGGTGGGGACAGTTGGGCAGAAGTTGGAGAGGGAAGTGGAAGCAAATCCTGAGGGCTCTCCCAGCAACCCCGGTTCTGTGCTGACCCTGAGAAAACAGGCTGCTCCTGATGGGTCACTGGGCTTGGGGGAGGCCTAGAGCTGCAGAGGTGAATTTACACATGGCAAGCCCAATCCCAAACCCAAAGGAAGGGACTCAGGTGCCCTTGTACTGAATAAGCTGTTTGGAGGAGGGCATGGGTCTGGGGGGGCAGGCAGGAAGAGGTTGGCAGAGTGGTCGTGATGCCCAGCCTCACCCAGCAGGAGAGGAGATCAAGGCTCCTCCTCCCAGGAGGCAGGATCTGCTGCCCAGAATTTAAATGCTTTTGAAATCTCTTAGATGTGGAAATATTTTTTCGAACCTGAAAATGCAGCTGGTAGAATTTCAATGGAAGCATAATTCATGTAAAATATATTTTAGTTGATATTTTGTAAAATGCACTTTTTGTGTGTGTCGACCCTGGTTTCTCAGATCTGTATTTCAGTGTTTACAAGGGAGGGGAGGACCTTTCCTCGCTTCTCTTTTGACAGAGATTAGAAGTACTTCTTTAAGAAAAATAAATAAATTTGAGAAATTGTATTGATTTAGAAAAGGATCATTTCCTGCGTGTCTTGTCATCCTTCTGGGTGTGTATGCACAGAGGCTCACTACTGTATATTTTGGGGGTCTCTCTTGGCCCTCAGTGCAGGGGTTCACTTAGGCAAATAAGCAATGAGGGCAGAAAACTAGGGGGAAGGCAGAGGAGGAGAGGCAATGGGGGGAATGGTAACCTGGAGTTGACTTCTTAGCATCCTGGTGGCTAGAGCCACCACCTGGACTCTGAAATCCTTGGGTTGCCGGCCCTCACCTGGGAACTGGTCCCAAAGTAGGCACATGGTGAAGATACTGCCTCGTCACCTTCGTTCATTCATTTGGGGAACTAGCCAGCAGAAACTGTGCTGGGGCCTCAGCATCTTGCAACTGGCACTCTGACTGAAGGCCACATCATGGGGCCAAAGGCTTTTACTGCTTGGCTCAACCCAGCCCCAAAGACAGTACTGACTAAGTTCAAAGTGGAGTGCCTCCAAGGCCATGGGTGTTCCTAGGAGACAACATGGCTGTCCCACCCTTGTCTGCATTTTGGTAAAGACATCTGGGCAGGTGCATTTCCATAGAGGTTATCAGTAGCATGGGTACCACCATGGACTGACAGTAGCATTGCCAGCAGTGTGCTGTCCAAAAGAGTCCCATGAGGTGGATGGGACTCATTTACAGATAGGGAACGAGCCAAGTACCTTGCCCAAGAACAACTCCAGAGTAAGTGGCTATTCCTGAACTCAAACTGCTTCACTCTGACTGCCAACACAGAAGACTATTCAGAGAAATAAGCATCTGGCCAAATTATCAAAACTTTTCAAAAGTTAGTTTTCCTAGTATGAAAGACGTACTTAAAATTTTGATTTTAAGTAGAAAATACCTCACCACCAGGAACCCACCTTCAGTGCTGTTGGAAGCAAAGGGCAGTTTGGTAAAGGCTGAACCTTGATGCAGACTTCTAAATGAGTGAATGATACATCCTGAGGTGCACCCCAGCATTCAGACTGGGATGTGGGGAACCTACTCTGAGAAGCTGGAAGGCTACCAGGCTTCCCATTCCCTCCCCTTGCTCAGCCTGTGTGCTCAATGGAGCTACGGGTTGAGGGGTCAGCAGAGCTTTCTAGCTTCTGCCCATCAGAATCTCATTCTTCTGAATTCTAATCAGCAGTAGTTCCATCCTCCCACTAAACTCAAAGCCTCTGTATCTTCTATTCCTTTACTCCTTCAGTACAACATATCCGGGGGTCAGCTGCTTCCTGCCTCCCAACCATTTTGTGTGCTCCACTAATCTCTGAAGGATCATGCTTAGGAATTTAGGTGTTAGAATGAGACCAATGTAGAGTCTCAACTTCCCAGAGCCTCTTTTCTTCAGCTGTGTAGTGGGAATGTCCATAGTACCTACCTGGCAGGGTGACCATGACAACAGAAGGAGAGAAAGCAAAACATTGAGTAGGCACCTTCCTAAATAAATAAATGTAGGCTCCTGATCACATCACTACTCTGCTTGAGAGCCTCACTGGCTCCCCACCCGTCACAGGGTGATGTCTGGATACTTTGCTAGGTGCCCAGTTTCAGGTAGGTAAAGACCACTGACGTCGGGGTGTTCCTGTATCTTTTGAGCCTACATGGCTGGCCTGGTGTCATAGAGCACATATTTGACTCTAGGCACAGAGGCTGCTGCTCTATGCCCCCAGCCACCTCATCTTTCAAAATGCGTGCTGACCACATCAGTGAACCAACTATCATTGGCCCCTCAGAGGTGTCCCAGTTATCCCACCCCTTCAGGCTCTGGGGGAGGGAAGGCAAAGGAGGGAGAAGATTCCATATGCTCACATTTCAGCATTACCCAGTGGATAAACTGTAATACACCAGGTATTGTTAAATCTAAGGGTCACCATGGAGATGAGCCATTGGTCAGGGCTTGACAGTATTTACCTCTTTACTGGAGTGGCCAGAACAGGGTGGGTTGGGGCAGGACACGGGATTTTGCTTGCAGTGAGAAAGATGGGCCTTGGGAAAGTTTAAGACCCGAGAGTGCCCCGGGTGCTTTCAGCCTTGGTGTTGGAATTAAAGGCGAGGCCAGGCAGGGGAGCGGCAGTGCAGGTCCTCTCCGTCCACCTCCCTGAGGGCACGCGCTGCACGGGAGAGGGCGCCGCATCCTGGGTCTTTTCAGTCCTCTAGGTCTGGGCAGCTTTTGTGCCCGGAGCCGGGAAGCCCAGGGCGGCCCAGGCGCCCTCTCCCGGGTGGGGGTCTGCACGCGCCTTCCCAGCTCGCCCTCTGCAGGGGTGCCCGCCCCTCTCCCCGCCCTCCTCTCCGCGCCTGGGTCCGCCCCCGCGCCTGTGTCACCAGGGGGCCGGGGGCGGAGAGCCGCCGGGCGGGACATCCGGCCTCAGTCCCTCGCCGCGCCCGTCCGCCTCCCGCTCAGGCGCCGCAACCCGGAGACGGCCACCCGAGCGCGCGGTGGGGCCTCCCGCCAGCGCTCGTGTCTCCCACCCCACCCGGCGCTGTGGGCCCTAGCGTTCTGCCCCGGACCTCAGCCTGAGCCCGCCTCCCAGGGCGCCCTCGCATCAGCCGGGCCTGCGCAGGCCCCCAGCCCGGGAGCACCATGTTCCCTCGCCCGCTGACCCCGCTGGCGTCCCTCAGTGGAGCGGAGCCCCTGGGCCGGGCGCTGCGGCGGGCCCCACCCGGCAGGGCCCGGGCCGGGCTCGGGGGGCCCCCTCTGTTACTGCCGTCCATGCTGATGTTCGCTGTTATCGTGGCCTCCAGCGGGCTGCTGCTCATGATCGAGCGGGGCATTCTGGCAGAGATGAAGCCCCTTCCCTTGCACCCCGCCAACCGCGAGGGCGCGGCCTGGCGCGGGAAGGTCCCCAGGCCCGGGGGGCTGTCCCTGGATGCCGGGGACTCGGACCTGCAGGTGAGGCAGGACGTCCGGAACCGGACTTTGCGGGCAGTATGTGGACAACCAGGCATGCCCCGGGACCCCTGGGACTTGCCGGTGGGACAGCGGCGCACCCTGCTGCGCCACATCCTTGTGAGTGACCGCTACCGCTTTCTCTACTGCTACGTACCCAAGGTGGCCTGCTCTAACTGGAAGCGGGTGTTGAAAGTGCTGGCGGGTATCCTGGACAGCGTGGACGTCCGCCTCAAGATGGACCACCGCAATGACCTGGTGTTCCTGGCAGACCTGCGGCCTGAGGAGATTCGCTACCGCCTGCAGCACTACTTCAAGTTCCTGTTTGTGCGGGACCCGTTGGAACGCCTTCTCTCCGCTTACCGTAACAAGTTTGGCGAGATCCGAGAGTACCAACAGCGCTATGGGGCTGAGATCGTGAGGCGGTACAGGGCTGGAGCCGGTCCCAGCCCTGCAGGCGATGATGTCACCTTCCCCGAGTTCCTGAGATACCTGGTGGACGAGGACCCTGAGCGCATGAATGAGCATTGGATGCCCGTGTACCACCTGTGCCAGCCTTGTGCCGTGCACTACGACTTTGTAGGCTCCTATGAGAGACTGGAGGCTGACGCCAACCAGGTGCTGGAGTGGGTGCAAGCACCAGCTCATGTCCGCTTCCCACCTCGCCAGGCCTGGTACCGGCCGGCCAGCCCTGAAAGCCTGCACTATCACCTGTGCAGTGCTCCCCGGGCCCTGCTGCAGGACCTGCTGCCTAAGTATATCCTGGACTTCTCTCTCTTTGCCTACCCACTGCCTAATGTCACCAGGGATGCCTGTCACCAGTGACCATAGGTATGGGCCAGCATTTGTTGACAATGCCAGCTTCCTGTGCTGCTGCCTGCTCTTTGGAGAAACCCTGACTCTGGGGCCTGGGGCTTCTCCAGATGCCTAGGCGGCAGGGGCTGCCCTCGGAAGTTCCTTCCAGGTGTCCACAGTGGCTCAGAGGACAGGGGTGGACAGGAGGCCTGGTACTCCCCATTGAGGGGATTTCTTGTGGGCCAGTATGGTCCTTCTTGCCCTTGGTAGGGCCAGACACCAGTTTGCCAGTGAAGCAACACATCTGTGCTGAAAACTGACTCCAGGGGCCCCTGGCTGCAGGGATTGAGCAGTTCACCAGGGCTACCTTAGCTTAGCCTGTGGCCAAACCTAGAGGTGTCTTCAACTAAGGAGCAGGACCAGAGCTGGGGGCCCCATTCATCCATTCATGTGTCTCAGGGCTGGAGTCAGCAGTTGTGCCTTATAAATGACTTTTGTGTCTTTCTGCTTCAGACTCAGAATTTCCTATACTTTACAAATTCTTTCCATTTTTCCAAGGAAAGGAAAACTGAGCTGGGTCCTTGCCTGGTAGCTCCAGGACCCAGCGCTGCAGGCCTCCAAAAATCCCTGGGCCCAACCTGTTCTTGGAGCTCTGGGCACCTCTTTCCTCCCCCTAAGGTTGTGACTGTGGCTGGTGTATCTGGGTGCCACTTTTTCGGTGCATTTATTTAAAATTTGTACTTTTTGATAGAACCTTTGTAAAGGCTTTGTTTTCCTAATAGCTCAATTTTTAATAAAGCTGTTTTGTATACAAACTCAGTGTCTCTGGTTCTCCCTTTGAGCTCCTGTGCCTCCAGCAAGTCTCCATGATATCTGCCCTCCCAGGTCAGGAGAGGAAGCTTACAGGTAGGGAAAGTAAGACGAAGAGAAAACACTTGCTTGGGCGGGTGCATTGGGGATACTGCCCTGCTATGGAGCCTTTGGGAGCTCCTCATAAGGCCATAGAGGATCACATGCAGCTTCTGGGATGCCAGCAAAGGGCAAGCCCTGTTAGGGATGGCCCCAGGTCTAGAGCACACCTACATGGTAGTATTCCAGAAGAAGGGCTGGCCATGAGACCATGGCTCCTCCTCCTCTTAGTAGGAATACTTCTTGATTATTGTTGTATGAGCAAGGGGAGGTTATTGCTGGCACTGAGAATTACAAGGAAGGCGGGGGTTTGAGCAAAGGGCAGGCTCTTGCTGCCTTAAGTCCAAAGGAAGTTGTGTGATGTGAGAGGAATATGATCAGGACAGTAGAGGACAGGCCTCAGTGGGACTATTCCCCCACTGCTCTCCAAAGATCCCAGGGCCACTGGGGAATGGAGAAGAGGAAGCTGTGCCCATGGAATAATGCTAGGCTACTCTGCCCTGTTAGTCCTATTTCGCACTCCCAGTGGGAACTGCTGTACTTTGGGGACTTGAGGCAGTGATGAGAGATGGTGCCAAGTTTATGGAGGGAAGCAGGAGAAGCCCCCTTGCACATGCCACTTACAACTGTCCTTGCTATTGGACTGACTTTGGAGGAGAAATTTGGGTGAGGAGGAGTCTGTGGGCACTCATGCACCTCTGCCATGACTCGCTAGGAGGCCTTTACTTGATTCCCTTTCTGAGTCATATGCCCCTCTACAGGGTGCCTTTCGCTCTGGGGCTTCACTTCAGATAGCTCTTACCACGTTCTGTTGTAACTACCCAGTTACTTATCAGTCTCCCCCACTGAGAATGTGAATTGTGTGAAGTTGAAACCATGTCTGTCTTGTTCACTTGACATTCCCAGAACCTAGCCCAGGGCTGCATACAGTAGGCAGGTAGACATCACAGCAGTACCACAGTATACATCTTGCTGCAGGACAGAGAGCACTGTACTTGGAGTCACCCAGACCAATCAAGTCCCAGCTCTACTACTCTTCAGCTGCCTGACTGCCTCTCAGAGCCTCCATGCCCTCTGCTGTATCATGGGAATAATAACACCTTTCTTATGTAGATTGCAGTGAGGATTAATGAGGACAAAATGAGTAAAAGTGCCCAACCCACAGTGTTTGAAATGCTAGTTGAACACCTGATCCTTCAGAGGCCTGTGGGGTTGGGAGAAGCCAGAACACTGTGTCCACCCAGCGCTGGAGACTGAAGATGTCTCTGGGCAGAGCCCCCTTTTGACCTGTGGATTCACTTCCTCTGCCAACCGGTCAGCCCTTCTCTAAGTCCCTGGCCCCTCAGGAACCCCTACCCCACCCTGCTCCCAGCTTCAGGTCCAGCTGTTATTTCTGTCTCATCCCCCTTATACCTCAGGACAGCCCAATACCAGAACTGTTACCCTGTTTTATAGACCCAGAAACTGGCACAGAGAAACTAAGTATCTGTCCAAAGTCCAACCAAGGTCTATGTGCCTCCCAGATTGCAGGAGACAGAGGCTGTGGAAGATGGGGGTAGGGAAGAGGGACAAGGGAAGTTAAGGTAGATGAAGGGTGGGTTGGGTTGCATTTAAGGGCATTGGCACACATTCTCCCTTCTCAGGTCTTTCATTCATTTTCAGAGGATTCAATTCAGCCCAGCTGACTTATACCAGAGTCTGCCCCAGAGGAGTGGGAGAGAAATGAAGTCCCTGATGTGGTTAGCTTATTGGCTTACTCTCCTCCCAGGCAGAAAAGGGTGCCAGGCCACAGAGCATCCTGACAACCAGAACGAGACACCAGTGGCATGGGGAGGAGGGTCTGAGGTAAGAGGGAGAGGCCTGTGAGACAAACTGCCACCTGTACTGTTATTTTTCTTTTCCCCTAGACCCAGCCCCTGTGAAACTTCTTTTGTTACCTGTTCTTCCTTTCAGGAAAATGGACTTTAAAGAAGCTGCCAAGGTGGTGGCAGAGAGCTGTGGGGGTTTAGCTAGCCCTAGTGGGGCCTGCTTTTGTACTGGGCACCAGGCCTGAGCTGGGCCCCCAGGGGTGGGGCAGGGGCATTCTCAGGCTGGACACCTGCACTGTGTCTGCCTGGAAATCCCCCTCTTCACCTCTGCTCTCCTCCCCACGCGGGGCCACGCCCTACGCCACTGCTAGGGGTGGGGGGCTGAGGACAGGTGTGCCCTTCCAAATATGCCCCATCCCTCCAACCTAGTCGTCTGGCCACAGGAGGTGAGGCTGGCAGTTTAACTTCTCGCATTAGCTGAGGGAGACGCACAAAGGAAAGGGGAGGAGCCCAAAGGGGCGTGGCCTTCGAGGTCTGGGCCCTGCCTCTGCTTCCAGGCTCCAAGTCTGGTCCATCCTGCCTTGAAGCCACCTCATCTAAAATGCGAGGTGCTTTCAGGACCCTTCAGGATGGTCCCACCACACAGACCATCTGCAGGAAGCCACAAGGCCCGAGTGGAGGAGCTGACCCTCCCCTGGATGAACACAAAACCCTTACGGTTCACAGGGGGCGAGGAATGGTCCAAGCCAGCAGGCACCCTCCCGGGTGGATCCAGTGCTGTTTCAGTGAAGAGCCCCTGCCTGGCTTCAAACAAGAGAAAAGTCATTCTTTGTCTTTCTAAAGGAAAACACTGATAATTAACTGTAGCTACGCTTAAGTGAGAGCACCTGGGTGAGGCAGCTTGCTCAGGACTTCACAGGCACATCCTCTTCATTCCTACAACCCAGCAAGGTAAGTAAAATTATTCTTTTTACAGACAAGGGAAATTTTATAGATGAGGAAATCAAGCCTAACTGACTTGCTGAAAGAGATGGTGGATTGGGATTAAAACTGAGCTCCATCTAGGGTTTGCTCCTCCACAAGGGAACATGCATTGTAAATTACCAGCTCATTGCATTTACTGATAAGCACTGTGTTCATTTTCCCTGATTTTTGTGCCCTTTTCCGGCCCCCTTTCCCAACTCTCTACAAGTGATTCGGTCCACATACCTCTCCAGCTATTACAAATTCTCCAGTTTTGCCTACCTTGAGAATCAACTTTCTAATGGTGCTGGTGTCAGACCACGAATATGCTAGACTTTCAGTTCAGGTCCTCCGAGAAGCAGATGCCAAGACAGAATTAGTGTGCAAGAGATTTATAGGAGAAAACAGCTGTGAAGGATAAAGAGGGAAGGAGCAGCAGTAGGCAGGAAGAGCCTGGGAGAGGAGAGGGGGAAGCAAGAACTGGGCGGGGAGAGTCTCAGGTTACAGGGCAGCTCCAAGGCCCAGCAAGGCCAGTGGGAGTCCCAGGGAAAGACTGCCTTTCAGAGGAGTCCCGCTTCAGGCAGAAATGGGGGGACAAGCACCTCAAGGCAGATGAAAGGTGCAGCAGCCTGGGGGCTATCAGCCACTCACACCACAGCACCTTCTCCTGAAGGGTGACATGAGCAGGACACCTCCCACTGCCACACACAACCAGTTGGCTGTTCTGACATATGGCCATTGGTCCCCATAGGTTCTGTTAACATAATCCTTTTCAACAAGCGGAAAACAGCTGTTGGCCTAGCAAGAGCCTCAAGATGTCCAGGGGATCCTGAACTAAACTCTTTGCCATGGCCATTCCCTGGCCTTACAGTGAGACTATCGCCCCTGACCTTCACTGGGGCATTGGGAGATATGTGCCATTACCATGCCTGAATGTCCATACTGTAATTTTCAGGATATTTTCTCTGAAGTTTACCCAACTCACTGCAGGTTTTGATTATTTTTAGTTTATGTCTTTGTCATTAATTGGATGGCTATTGATGATCACCTTTGCCTAGCTTCTGTCTCTCATAGGCTCAGATCCTTTTGGCTGAGAGCAGAATCACCCAGCAGTTGAGTCTGGATGCTGGGGCCCTGGCCCTCCCAGGGTCTACAGTCTAGGCTTCCCCCAGTGTGATCATCCAGCTGGGCGTGAACTCGAGGCGCAGTGAGAGGGAAGCGAAGTCCTCCTGGAGGGAGCTTCCAGGGTCCTGCATGCCCAGGAGTACCAGGTCTTCTGTAGCATCCCCCTTCCGAGCTTTTCAGCTTCTTACTGCCTGCACCCTTCTCCAGAGGCATCCCCACAGAGACAAAGAAAATTACAGTCTTGACTGTGCTGTTGTGCGGGGACAAGGAGGACCAAGTTTAGGCCAGTTTATTCCTGGCCCCTTAACCCTCCAGCAGGAAAGCTGGGCCAGCCTCAGCCTGTAGGTGGGGTTTGGGGGGCAGGAAGACATGAGGGGCTTCAGGAGCTCAAGAAGGAGGAGCCTCTGGTGGCCCAGCTGTGCCTCCAGACCTGCTGGGCCACCACCTCAGTGACTGCTGGCAGATGGAGGGAACCAGGTGCAGGAGGTCATCAAGCATCCACTGGGTTGGTTTTCTGTCCTCAACCCTGGAAATACTGAGCTGTCCCTGGGACTCCTGCCAGAGCCCCAGGGGCCACAGCATCCCGAGTCCAAACTCTGTGGCCAGAGGGGCCATCAGAGCAGAAGAGCCCATGGGAGCTGAAACTGGGCTGGCCCCTGAGTGTGCTGCTGCAAAGGGCCACAGGCTGCCCAAAGGGAGGCACCTGAGGCAGGCCCAAGAACAGTGGGGTTGACTGGGCAAGGGCGGGGAGAAAGGGCAAGGCTTTCTGGTTGAGGGGCTAAACCAAATTGGAGGTCAGCTGACCTCTGGCAACCAGGCGTGCTTCCCACCCGGCAATGAGAAGCTCTAGAGAGCCTCCCCCACAGAAGCTGCGGACACAGTGGCAGGCCAGTGCCCTAGAAGAAAGAGAGAGCTGGCCTAACTAAGCAGGAAAGCCTGGAGGGAAAAGCTGGCGCCTGAGCAACTTTCAAGTAGCAACCTTTGATTTTTGTCCACTGAGACTACCCTCA